GGGTACAGCTAAATTAATACTTAAAGGGAAATTAAATGCTTATATTAGAAAAGAAGAAAGGTCTAAAATCCATCTTAAGAAGTCAGAAAAAATCAACGTAGACTGAAAATAAATATAAAGAAACAATAATGAAAAGTTGAAGTCAACAAAATAAGAAACAACAATAAAGAAAATGAATTAAACCAAAAACTTTTTTTTAAATCAGTAAAGTTAATAAACCTCCATTAGATTAAGAGAAAAAGAGAAAAGACAAATTATCAGTATCAGGAATAAAAGAGTGTATCACTACAGATCCTTCACAGACTTAAAAGCTAATAAGAGAATGTTATAAATGATTTTATGCCAATGAATTTGACAATTTAGTTGAAGTGGACAGATTCTTTGAAAGACACAAATTACCAAATTACAAGAAAATATAGGAAACCACAGTAGTCCCATATCAACTAAATAAATTGAATTTGTAACCATAAATCAGAAGGAAACCCAAGGTCCAGGTGGTTTTCCTGGTGTATTTGATCAAGCTTAAACAAAAGGATAGTAATTCTACAAACATTTGTTTTCAGAAATTTTTATACAGGTCTTGTTTTATGACACTAAATATAGTTTTAGTCGTACAAATTCTATACCTGTTTTGGTTAAATTTATTACTAGTTATTTTATGATTTTGTTGTAATGTGAATGGATTTTCTCCTATTTTCAGTTCAAACTGATTATTAATAGGATAGTGAAAGACTATTTTTTGTGTATTTATTTTTTGTGTTGCCAACTTAATCTCTCTTATTCTCATTCTTCCCCCCAACCCTCAGCCTATTGAGTCCAAGAATATAATCATATCATGTGCATACAAAATAAGTAATTTGGTATTTTATAATTATTCTAAGTATTTCATCTTCATGTCTATTACATTAGTTATAACTTTCAAAACAATGTTAGGAAATAGTGGAGAAAACAGGCATCTCTGCCCAATATCTGGTTTTAATAGAAATTATTTTAGTATTTCACCATTTATCTTGTTGTTTACAGTTTATTCAAGAAAGTAAAATATGCCATATATACTGAAAAGTACACGCAACATATACGTACAATTTAACAAATAACTGTAAAGCAAAGATCTATGTGACCACTGTACAAGAAAAAATTTTAAAGGTTAAGAGATAGTACATTACCAGCACTGGGACTGTACACAACTCTGCTACAAGAACCCTGTTCCTTCTCCTCTTAGTGATAACACAGGTTGCCCTAAAATTCTTACTGACTTCCTTACTTTTTAAATAGTTTTATCATTTAGACGTGCAACCCTAAATAGTATAGTCCTGTTTGCCTTTATTTGAACTTTATATGAATGGAATAATGTTTTATGTATCATTTTGTTCAATATTATATCTAAGATTGATCCATGCTACTTCATGTGAAAAGGTTTATTCATTTTCTTTGGTTGTTTTCACTTCACAGTATGGATATATCAAAATTTATCTTTTAATTTCTATTGTACGTGTCCATGAGTTATTTCCTATATTTGGTTATTACAAACATGGCTACCATGAACATTTTTGTACATTTATTTTGGTACAGTGTGTATGAGTTTCTCTAGGATAAATCCCTAATAGTACAATTTTGGGCCGAATTAACTTTACTACGTAATGGGTAACTAAACCTTTTTCCCAAATGAGAGTTAACATTGTCCTACATTAATGCTCCAACCAAAAGACATAGACTGGCTGAATGGATACAAAAACAAGACGCATATATTTGCTGTCTACAAGAGACCCACTTCAGACCTAGGGACACACACAGACTGAAAGTGCGGGGATGGAAAAAGATATTCCATACAAATGGAAATCAAAAGAAAGCTGGAGTAGCAATTCTCATATTAGACAAAATAGACTTTAAAATAAAGACTATTACAAGAGGCAAAGAAGGACACTACATAATGATCAAGGGATCAATCCAAGAAGAAGATACAACAATCATAAACAAATATGCACCTAATATAAGTGCTGTTTTCTACAGCCACTGTACCAATTTACATTCCCACCAATAGAGTAGATGGTTCCAGTTTCTCCAGATCCTTAACAACACTTTTTATCTTTTGTTTGTTTTTGTAATAGTCATTCTAATAGGTTTGAGGTGATATCTCACTGTTTTTGATTTGCATTTCCCTGATGATTACTGATATTTAGCACTTTTTCATGTACTTGTTGACCATTTGTATGTTTTCTGTGGAAAATGTCTATTCAGTTCTGTTGCCCATTTTTTAATGTGGTTATTTACTTTTTCTGATAATCTCTTTATTTATATTGGCCAGTTAAGGTTTTCTATTTCTTCTTTTGTTTTTCTGGAAGACTTTATCTTGCCTTTATTTCTAAGGAACAGTTTTACTGGGTACAGTATTCTTGGTTGTTAATTTTTTTCTTTCCGCACTTTGAATATATCATCTCAATCTTTCCTGGACTGAGAGGTTTCTGCTGAGAAATCCACTGACAGCCTTATGGGGTTCCCTTATATGTGATGAGTTGCTTTTCTCTTGCTGCTTTGAAAATTCTTTCTTTATCTGTGAAAATGTGATTATAATGTATCAGTATAGACTTCTTGGTTTCTTCTATTTGACATCCTTTGGCATCCTGAATATGGATGCCCATTTCTCTCTCCACATCTGGGAAGTTTTCAGCCATTATTTCCTTAAATAAGCTTTCTGCCCCTTTCTCTATCTCTTCTCTTTCAGGACTCCTAAAATGTGTACATTGGCTCAGTTGATGGAGTTCCCTGAGCCCTTTAGGCTTTCTTCACCTTTTTCATTCTTTTTCCTTTTTGATCCTCTGGCTGTATAATTTAAATGCTCTGTCTTTGAGTTCACTGATTCCTTCTTCTGTTTTTTTTCTAAGTCTGCTGTTGAATTTTTCACTGCAGTCATTGCACTCTTCAGCTCCAGTATTTTTATTTCATTAGTTTCTTTTACAGGGTACGGCAGATTCTATTTTCTAAAGATGATGCAATATCTCCTTTGACATTCTCACTGATTAGTGGGTCTGCTCTTGACCTCAAATCTGAGTGGGCTTAGACTCACTTGTAATCAGAGTGAAGTAGAAGTGATGCTGGATGACTTCCTAGGTAAGGCCAGAAAAGTCCATGCTACTTTTACCTTCTTCTCTTGAACTCTCATACTCAGAGCCCAGGAATGCCATGCATAAGTCTGACTATCCAAAGGGTACCATGCAGTGATGAAGCCAAACCACTCTGATGGGCATTCTCTGTCATCAAGTCCTCCCAGCCTATGTGTCAGATTCTGTGACTGAAGGAGCATATAGGTAATCTCAGCTCCCAGCTGTTGAGTCACCCCAAGCCTTTGACTCCTCCTAGCTGAAGCCCAGATGGGGTGAAGCACATAAAAGTCATCCTCACTGTGCCCATTCCAATTTCTGACCCACAGAATCCCTCTTTCTGCTGTGTTGTTTCTGGGACTTGTTCCTGAATTAAAGGAGAGATAGACGCTAATGAGATTAGGAGGTGGAAGAGAAGGTAAATAATAGAACTTTAGTTCTGTCGGGCTCAGTAGGTGTTTGTTTATGGTCAGCAAAGTACCTGCATACTGGAATTAAATGCAGACAGTGTGGGTAGGGGATGCCAAATTTTCCCTGGGTTTTGACATCATCTGTCATGTTTCAGAGGGAAGGGCTCATGAAAAGTAGTTTAAAAGTATGTTTTCAGTCCATCATCAATGAAACGGTTGAAATTCCACCTGGATTTTAGCAACTGTTCCTCTCTCATTTTAAATCCATAGTGTCGTTGCCAGTTTTTCTCCTTTTCTGTATCTTTATGGTCATTTTTTAAATGGTGAGGTTTTTTTTTTTAATTGAGATATTGACATATAACATTGTGTTCGTTTTAGGTGTACAACATAATGGTTGATATATGTATATACTGCAAAATGATCACCACAATAAGTTTAGCTAGCATCCATCACCACACATAGTTACGTTTTTTTTTTCTCTTGTGATGAGAACTTTTAAGGTTACTCTCTTAGCAACTTTCAAGTATACAATAGAGTATTAACATATTCGTCATGCTGTACATTACATCCCCAGGACTTATTTATTTTATAACTGGAAGTTTGTACCTTTTGACACCATTACCCATTTTATCCAACCCCCATCCCCCACTTCTGGCAACCACCAATCTGCTCTCATCTCCAGTATTCCTGAGTGGTCCTTTTTATTGTTTCTATCTCTTTATTGATGTTTTTCATTTTGTTCATATATCATTTTCCTGAATTGGCTTAATTGACTGAGTTCTACTGTAACTCACTGAGCTTCTTTTAGAAGATTGTTTTGAATTTTGTCAGCATATTCATAGATCTCTATTTCTTTAGGGTCAGTTACTAGAGATTTATTTTTCTCCTTTGACTATGTTATATTTTCCTGAAAGATCGTCGAATCCCTTGTAGCTTTGTGCTGATGTCTGCATTTTTTGAAGACACAAACACTCTAAATTGCTCCAGATGACCAGCCTTTTTTTTTTTTTTTTTAATGGAGGCTGTAATCTCTTATTCCCTCTGGTGTCTAACTTTGCTGGTTCTGTCAGCACTTGATGTGAGGCTATACAGAAGCTGGTGCCGTGGGTAGGACCCTGAAAGGTAAAGACATTGGAGGCATGCCCTACTCCTCTGCCTCCCTTCTGAGGGAGAAGCCTCAGTTCTGCACATTTTCCCAATCTTGAAGATCCTTGCTAGCTGTAGGAAGCCACCCTCTGCTTTTCCTTTGTTCTTAGCTGCCCCAGGCATCTGGACTGTGCTAGTACCTTCAGCACTTGGTGTGAGGTGAGACAGGACCTGGACCCTTGGGGAGTGAGTGCACTGAAAGGCTGGGAGGCTGAGCGCACACTCTATTCTCTTTTCCCCACCATGGGAGAAGTCACTGGCTGAGGAGATCTCTCTTGGCCCTGGGCTGTGCAGTTTGCAGGGAGGGGCTAATGCAGTTAAAGTGAAATTGCTCTTCTTACCCGTTTCAACGTGGCTGTTCTTGGTTTTTGTGCTTATCTGGGGTGCTGAAACTTCTTATTTGGAATATGGAATTCTCATAAAGGTATTTTGGTTCATGTATAATTTTTACATCGCTGTTTCTATGGGGGAACAACGATTGAGTATTCCTATTTCTTCATTTTGCTGATCTCACTCGCAGTTTAATCTTTAAGGAACAGATTATTTCGTGATACTGTGGTGGAATATGTGTAGTGATGAATTTAGCCAGGGTAGCTACAATGACTAGTGGGACAGTGTGCATCTTCATTTAGGGGAAGGTGTAAGAACTTCTTCACTTATAATAACAGTGGTGTTTTAAAACCTGTATGATCATGTTAAAACTCTTAATATTGATACATATAACTAGATTGATTTATGAAAGGTTTAGCTAAAATAAAGCATGGTCAACAATGTATACACATATCTGTGTGCCCATTTTATCATTGTATTTCTTGATATTTCTTTATGTTTGTTAAGATAAATATAAAAATAATGCTCTCTTGATGTTTTAATTTGCTTTAATTTACTTCTGCTTTTTTTTGTTTACAGAATGTTTATACATCAAATACAAATGCTGCATTTTATAATGTATGCCTTCAGGCAAGAGGCTGTAGCAGAATGAAAAATCAATTTTTAGCATAACCATATGTTCAATCTTCTTATATATATATTTATTTATTTTTATTGTGGTAAAAAACACAAAACATAAATTTTACCCTCTTAACAAATTTTAACTGTACAGTATTGTTAACTATATGCATATTGCTGTGTAGAAGATCTTCAGAACTATTTTTATCTTCTTGACTGAAACTCTATACCCAATGAGTAGCAACTTCCCAGTTCCCCCTTTCCCCTAGTCCCTGGCAACCACCATTCTGCTTTCTGCTTCTGTGAGTTTGCTTTAGATATCTCATATAAGTAGAGCTACACAGTATTTCTCCTGCGACTGGCTTATCTCACTTAACACAATGGCCTCAAGGTTAATCTATGTTGTCACACATTGTAGAATTGCCTTCTTGTTTTAAAGCTGAATAATACTCCATTGTATGTATATATCACATTTTCTTTATCCATTCACCTGTTCATGGACATTTAATATGTTCATTCTTTGTGTTCACTATTCTTTGACTATTTGCAGGCACACATGCCATTTGATGCCTATGGTGCCACCAGGTCAGGTGAATGGAGGGTGCTGAACTATCTTATCCTGGAGCATTGTCTGTGTGTAGTTTACTTGTCCTGTGCCCTTCTACTAATGGGTTCCTTTGTGTAACTCCACAGGTAAAAGTCCTGGGCTCAGAATCTTAGTTCTTGTCAGAGTCTTTGTTCTGGTTCAGCCTCCTCAACTGTAGTGAAGTCATTCTTTCTGGATTAGTTTGCAAAGGCTATGGTAGGAGCTAATGTCTGTGAACCTTTCCCCTAAAACCCAGGATGGGCCAAATACTTCTCTGACTATATTGCTTATCTTTTGGAAGTTACTTAACTTTGAATGAGAAATAAATACAGTTGCATTTAATTAAAAATCAAGTTATACATGAGCTCTAAGCTTACAAAGTTCTCAGCCCTTGTAGATTGGTTCTCTTATACAGCAAACATCATGTTGAGGTTTCTTACCCTGAGACACATATTTGCTGCCTCAGCATCCTCTGCAGAGCTGCCTTTGCCTCCTGGTTCTTGAAGCTGTAAATGAGAGGGTTTAATAAGGAAGTGATCACACCATACCGTATAGAGATAGCTCACTACAGGACTGGTCCTGAAGAGGGGCTGATGTACCTGAATAGAGCCATCCCATAGAACAAGAGCACCACGGTGAGATGGGAGTAGCAGGTGGAGAGTAGCACCTTGGCTTTTAGAGGAAGAAGTACTTAGAATGGCAAGAATAATTTTTGAGTAAGAGAAGAGAATCAGGGGAAGTGTCACAAGTCCTAGAAATGCAAAAAACCTAGCCAGCAGCATGGTGTTAGGTGTGGTATCACTGCAGGACAGAGGGAAGTGTGAAGGCAGTTCACAACTGAAATGGGAGATGATATTGGGACCATAGAACTGTAAGTTCTGAACACAAAGATTATTCACTAGTGAGTTCAGAAACCCCATCAACCATGCTGTACCAACCATTGCAGTGCAGAGAGGTCTATTCATGACCACGGTGTAGAGCAGAGGGTGACACATGGCAGCATAGCGGTCATAGGCCGTAGCAGAGAGCAAGCAGCTCTCAGTGACTCCAGAAATCATGAAAAAGAAACTCTGGGTAATGCAGCCCCACACCGAAATGGTTTTCTTCTGAGATAGGAAATTCTGCAGCATCTTGGGCACAGTGACTAAAGAGTAGCATATGTCTAGGAAAGATAAATGTCCAAGGAAGAAGTACATGGGCATGTGGAGGTGAGAATCAGCCCTGATCAACAGGATCATCGTCAGGTTCCCTATCAGGGTCAGGAGGTAAATCCCCAGGAAGAGAACAAAGAGCATGGTCTGGATTTCCGGGTCACTAGACAATCCAAGCAGCACAAATTCATCAGTAATGCTAAGATTTGTCATGTTTTCTTAGATATCCTATCCCTGGAGAGAAACAAATAGTTATTCATTTGGTGGGACAACGATCTGAGTCACACTCAGTGAATAGGACTTTTTAATCTATAAAAGATCCACTCTTTAAGGCTGAAGTGTCCCAGTATCCAGTTGCGCTGATTTGAGTCTTTTGGTCTCAGCTAAGAGAATCTGGTACTCTTCCTTAACATTTTACTCTCCTTTTGTCTCCCTCAGTCCTGAGGACAGCGCCTGCCCAGTTTGTGTGACTTATATCTCTTTTTTCATCAACTCGTTGGTAATCTTGTGCCAGCTGAGCCCTGGAGACAGATGTTGAGTAAGAACCGTTGGGAGCCAGGACCAGTTCACTGCCCATGGGAGAGGCAGCAGTAGCCACAGCCGAAGTGGTTCTCAGTCCAGAGAGGGACAAGCTACTAGTCCTGCTGTGGCCAGTGGAGGACACAGGACTGCAGAATGCTTCTGGCTATAAATGGCTTTACTATTAGGGGACCAGGTGAACTCCAATGTGTGAGACTCTGCTTAAGAGTCTTTATTCCCTGATAGTCCTAGCATTCTGAAAACACACACACACACACACACACACACACACACACACACACTCTCTCTCTCTCTCTCTCTCTCTCTCTCTCTCTCTCTATTCAACCAAGTACATATACTCTCCTTTCTCACTGTGACAAGTTGAGCCATTTCATTACTCTCGTGAAGCTACCTACTCCTTTAACCTCACACTCCTAGCTCTCAGCTGATAATTGGCAGAGGACATGTTCCTGTTCCTGTTATGGGCGATCTCTAACTCCCTAATCCCCACACATGGAGTTATTCTTCTTTTCTCCCCTCCAGCGTGGGGAGGAGGCCCTTCTCCTTCACCTCTGGTGAGTGCTTCTCTCTGCTCTGGATTCCATCTTAATCCTTCTCTTTGAGCATCTCTCTGAATCAACCATGCTCTTTCACTTCCCTTGTCTCTCCCTTTCCATCAAGCATATCCACTCAGTTTATATGCAGAGCTACTCACATTTATCCATTTAAAATAGAGCAGAAACGATTAATAACCTTCTTTCTTCCATAAGAAGCCTTAAAAATATAATAGAATTTGGCACCCTTCCTTCGGTAATAAAATATATTGCCTTTAAAGTTTTCTACATGTAATAAGACTTAGACAACTTTTCGTTTGAGACATAAAGTCCACATTAGTGAAAATTTTACTCACCCATCTAGATTTTAGTATATTTCTGATGTTACCCCAATCCTCCAGAAAAAATTTATATGGAATATACCACATATTATATAACACCTCTGCTGCACCCTGTAGTCAAACATATTACTATTTCTATAATGAAACTTCTGAGTACCCTTTCTACATGGGATTTTAAGAGTCTACAAATAGCCTCATATCAATTAACTTCCAGTGTTTCCTCCAAACTAGTTCTGGAAAAAAAAGTTTGGCTTTTAGAGATTTTTGGAGATTTTGGAATTGGAGATGAGAGCTTATAAACCTGTCTTAAATTTCTATATTCACTGGCTTTTATTTCTAGGTTTCCTATTCTATTCTTTGATGTGTCTGTTTTTACAGTAGTGCCGCACTCTCTAATGACTGTAGATACGTTATATACTTTAATATGTAACGATGCCAGTTTCTAATGTTTATACTTTTATGTTATTTTTTCATTTATTCTTATAATTTCACTTCATAATTGGATTTTTAGTTTGAAAAATTCCCTTGAGATTTCAGCTGGAGTTGTTTTTTCACCAATATGTCAATATTACTTTGGCAGTAAGCTTTACAATTTGTTCTACCTTTTCTTTGTTTCAGCCTTTTCTTTTTGCTTACAGTATAATTTTTTATTTTCTTCACATAGGCCCTAGGCTTTTTTGTCTATATTTTTTATACATCAGGTTCTTATTAGTCATCAGTTTTATACACATCAGTGTATATATGTCAATCCCAATCACCCAATTCATCACACCCCCACCCCCACCCCCATGCAGCTTTCCCCCCTTGGTGTCCATACGTTTGTTCTCTACATCTGTGTCTCAATTTCTGCCCTGCAAACGGGTTCATCTGTACCATTTTTCTAGGTTCCACATATATGTGTTAATATGATATTTGTTTTTCTCTTTCTGACTTACTTCACTCTGTATGACAGTCTCTAGATCCATCCACGTCTCAACAAATGACCCAGTCTCATTCCTTTTTATGGCTGAGTAATATTCCATTGTATATATGTACCACATCTTCTTTACCCATTCGTCTGTCGATGGGCATTTAGGTTGCTCCCATGACTTGGCTATTCTAAAGAGTGCTGCAATGAACACTGGGGTGCATGTGTCTTTTTGAATAATGGTTTTCTCTGGGTATATGCCCAGTAGTGGGATTGCTGGATCATATGGTAATTTTATTTTCAGTTTTTTAAGGAACCTCCATACTGTTCTCCACAGTGGCTGTATCAATTTACATTCCCACCAACAGTGCAAGAGGGTTCCCTTTTCTCCACACCCTCTCCAGCATTTGTTGTTTGTAGATTTTCTGATGATGCCCATTCTAACCGGTGTGAGATGGTACCTCATTATAGTTTTGATTTGCATTTCTCTAATAATTAGTGATGTTGAGCAGCTTTTCATGTGCTTCTTGGCCATCTGTATGTCTTCTTTGGAGAATTGTCTATTTAGGTCTTCTGCCCATTTTTGGGTTGGGTTGTTTGTTTTTTTAATATTGAGTTGCATGAGCTGTTTATATATTTGGGAGATTAATCCTTTGTCCCTTGATTTGTTTGCAAATATTTTCTCCCATTCTGAGTGTCGTCTTTTTGTCTTGTTTATCATTTCCTTTGCTGTGCAAAAGCTCTGAAGTTTCATTAGGTCCCATTTGTTTATTTTTGTTTTTATTTTCATTACTCTAGGAGGTGGATCAAAAAAGATCTTGCTGTGATTTATGTCAAAGAGTGTTCTTCCTATGTTTTCCTCTAAGAGTTTTATAGTGTCCAGTCTTACATTTAGGTCTCTAATGCATTTTGAGTTTATTTTAAGTGTATGGTGTTAGGGAGTGTTCTAATTTCATTCTTTTACATGTAGTTGTCCAGTTTTCCCAGCACCACTTATTGAAGAGGCTGTCTTTTCTCCATTGTATATCCTTGCCTCCTTTGTCATAGATTAGTTGACCATAGGTGCATGGGTTTATCTCTGGGCTTTCTATCTTGTTCCATTGATCTATGTTTCTGTTTTTGTGCCAGAACCATATTGCCTTCATTACTGTAGCTTTGTAGTATAGTCTGAAGTCAGGGAGTCTGATGCCTCCAGCTCTGTTATTTTCCATCAAGACTGCTTTGTCTATTCGGGGTCTTTTGTGTCTCCATACAAATTTTAAGATTTTTTGTTCTAGTTCCATAAAATATGCCATTGGTAAGTTGATAGGGATTGCATTGAGTCTGTAGATTGCTTTGAGTAGTATAACCATTTTCACAATATTGGTTCTTCCAATCCAAGAACATGGTATACCTCTCCACCTGTTGGTATCATCTTTAATTTCTTTCATCAGTGTCTTATAGTTTTCTGCATACAGGTCTTTTGTCTCCCTAGGTAGGTTTATTCCTAGGTATTTTATTCTTTTTGTTGCAATGGTAAATGGGAGTGTTTCCTTAATTTCTCTTTTAGATTTTTCATCATTAGTGTATAAGAATGCAAGAGATTTCTGTGCATTAATTTTGTATCCTGCAACTTTACCAAATACATTGATTAGCTCTAGTAGTTTTCTGGTGGCATCTTTAGGATTCTCTATGTATAGTATCATGTCATCTGCAAACAGTGACAGTTTTACTTCTTCGTTTCCAATTTGTATTCCTTTTATTTCTTTTTCTTCTCTGATTGCCGTGGCTAGGACTTCCAAAACTATGTTGAATAATAGTGGTGAGAGTGGACATCCTTGTCTTGTTCCTGATCTTAGAGGAAATGCTTTCAGTTTTTCACCATTGAGAATGATGTTTGCTGTGGGTTTGTCGTATATGGCCTTTATTATGTTGAGGTAGGTTCCCTCTATGCTCACTTTCTGGAGAGTTTTTATCATGAATGGATGTTGAATTTTGTCAAAAGTTTTTCTGCATCTATTGAGATGATCATATGGTTTTTCTTCTTCAATTTGTAAATATGGTGTATCACATTGATTGATTTGAGTATATTGAAGAAAACTTGCATCTCTGGGATAAATCCCACTTCATCATGGTGTATGATCCTTTTAATGTGTTGTTGGATTCTGTTTGCTAGTGTTTTGTTGAGGATTTTTGCATCTATATTCATCAGTGATATTGGTCTGTAATTTTCTTTTTTTGTAGTATCTTTGTCTGGTTTTGGTATCAGGGTGATGGTGGCCTCATAAAATGAGTTTGGGAGTGTTCCTCCCTCCACAATTTTTTGGAAGAGTTTGAGAAGGATAGGTGTTAGCTCTTCCCTAAATGTTTGATAGAATTCACCTGTGAAGCCATCTGGTCCTGGAATTCTGTTTGTTGGAAGGTTTTTAGTCACAGTTTCAATTTCATTACTTGTGATTGGTCTGTTCATATTTTCTATTTCTTCCTGGTTCAGTCTTGGCAGGTTATACCTTCTAAAAATTTGTCCATTTCTTCCAGGTTGTCCATTTTATTGGCATAGAGTTGCTTGTAGTAGTCTCTTAGGATGCTTTGTATATCTGTGGTGCCTGTTGTAACTTCTCCTTTTTCATTTCTAATTTTATTGATTTGATTCCTCTCCCTCTTTTTCTTGATGAGTCTGGCTAATGGTTTATCAATTTTGTTTATCTTCTCAAAGAACCATCTTTTAGTTTTATTGATCTTTGCTATTGTTTTCTTTGTTTCTATTTCATTTCTTTCTGCTCTGATCTTTATGATTTCTTTCCTTCTGCTGACTTTGGGTTTTGTTTGTTCTTCTCTCTCTAGTTCCTTTAGGTGTAACATTAGATTGTTTATTTGAGATTTTTCTTGTTTCTTGAGGTAGCTTTTATAGCT